AGACTGCAGAGACTGTGCCACCTGAGTTCCATCCAGCAAAGCTCAGAGTGGTTTCTGAAATCCTTGAAGATGAAAAGATGCTGCATGCAATTTCCACTTTCCAGTGGAAAAGGACCTACATGTAAATAAGAAATAGGCCAGCTATTGAGAGCTCCTTTCTGGTGGGAAATGAATCAGGAGTTGTCATTTCTGTATAATAGGGAGGAGAAGCTGAAGCTCAGGGCAAGTTCTTTGCAGAATCTCCAGTTTGGAGCAGAGCTGGGGTCAGTGCCAGGAGGCCTGACACTGCCAGGCCAAAAGTGAAGACACCACTGGACCTCAGAATGACTCAGATTTCAAGGAATTGGTCTAACTCAAGGCTGATTTCCAAATTAGATGAAGTTGCTTGGAGCCTCGCCCACTGGAAAGACAACTTTGGCTTTGGTGACGTTGAGACAAAGCCCTTCAATGAGGAAACTATGGGTGGTAGCAAACTGTTCCTGCAATCCTAAAGCCAGCCAAGGATCCTGCTGTTGTGCCCAGCTCAGCTGTTGACTCTCCAGCTGCCCCCATGGCCCTGAGGGCTGTTTGCCATGGGGAGAGGAGCAGCTGGCTGCACTCTGAAATGTCTCAGTTTTCCCAAGATACTCATTGTCTGTCTGCAGCACCAGCCTCCACCCTACTTGCTCACTCAACCGTGGCTGATGTGTCTTTAATTAAAGAAGAGGAACAATTTGAGATTTCATTTTCCTTTCTCAACTGAATTTTCTATTTTCATCACATTTTGTGAGGTCCCCTCACCTTACTTTTGTCTTTTAGTTTTGCTGGGAAACCTTTAGTTAGTGGTGTGTCTTCTCTAATATAAGGAAGAAACAGGAGAAAAACAGATTGTTTTGGGCCAGGGAATTAAGATCCTGGGTCAGATGGCTGCTACGGTCATTAACATATTTACATTTTTGCTTAAGAGCCTGGTTGAGGATCAGGGGAGTTAAGGGTGATTGTCATTGAAATGCGGATGAAACCTTGCATGAAATTGCCGTTAGTGTCCCATTGTCTGGGGGCACGAGGGGGGGCAAACGGCGTCCTCATCCCTGATCACTTGCCTGCCCGAGATCCTGCCCAGGCAGAAGGAGCTGTGCTGAGGGAAGGCGCCTGTGCTGGGGGAGCTTTGCTCCCCGTGGGGCTGAGCAGGCTCAGCACGGCCCTGCTGCTGCCTGCAGGCACTGCCTGGCCTCGGGTGAGACCCTGGTGCTCGCCTGGGCTTGGGGGATGATTGGCCCCGGAGGAGATCACCATGGATAAATGCATGAAGCGGCTTGCAAAGGTCAGTTTTCTCTTTTATAATTGATGGAGCTGAGTGTTTTGAGTCTGCTGTCACACGTTTTTGCGCTGGTGCAGCGTCACCTGGACTGCTGTGTGTAGTTTTGGGCATGATGTTATGAAAAAGACATGAAGCTGTTAAAAAGTGTCCAAAGGGGGCCATGAGGATGATGCAGGGTCTTGAGGGGAAGCCGTGTGAGGAGTGGCTGAGTTCACTTGGTTTGTTTGGCCTGGAGGAGCCTGGGGAGAGACCTCACTTCAACATCCGCATGAGGGGCAGGTTCTGATCTCTTTGCTCGTATGACCAGCGACAGGAGCCAAAGAAACAGCTAGACCTGAGTGAGGGAGAGGTCTAGATTGAGTATCTGAGGGTGGCTGTGCACTGGAACAGGCTCCCCAGGGCTGTGGTCACAGCACCAAGCCTGTGTGAGTTCAGGAAACGTTTGGACAACACTCCCGGGCACATGATGGGATTCTTGGCTGTCCTGCATAGGGGCAGGAGCTGGATGGAGCATGGAGGACTCAATGATCCTAATGGGTCCATTCTAACTCAGCACATTCTGTGATTCTCTGATTTGCCTTGTGTGGGGACATAGGATATGCAGGACCTGCTCAACCAACCCCTTGATTTTTGTGGATAGCTGTGATATCAGAAACAGGGTTTGAAGCAGTTTGAAGTATTGGTGTGGATTTTGAGTGGTGACAGATGAAATGTTTACATGCTTTTTATGGAGAAATGTTGCACAATTAAAATTTTGTTTAAACATAAATAAGAGGACTTCTTTACAGCTGAGGTTGACAGTAAAACATTCTGCTCCAGGTTGCAGAGCCTGTGCTCTAGCCCTGCTCTGAGGTATTTGAGTTCAGATGCCAGTTTTCATTGTTCATCTCTTACTCTCACATTGTTCAGATCCACTGTTTTACTTCACACTTATTTCTAATTATTATCATTAACATGGTGCCAAAAATAATTATATATAATAACATGGAAGAGGAGAAGAGACTCGATAGCCAAATTACACTACAGAAAACACCAGCCACCTTCTGCCACTGCTTTGACTTTTGTGGAGCAAACAGCAAGACTTCAGTGAGCTGAAGGAGGAGTGCTGGTGCCTATTGGTGTGAGAAAGAAGCAGATTCACTTGTAGCCACCAGACAGCTACAGCTTCAGCTGTGCCTTTGGAAGGCAGCAGTCACAACAACATCCTGAGTGAGAGGATGCATCAGCTCCAGCACTAGTGAGCCTGAACTCATTAGTGTGTCCTTGTGGGCTGGGTTGAAGCTCTGAAGCTGTTGTGTAATTTCTGTTCTTGGTTACAAAATGCTTCTTTTTGGAAGGCTTGAAAGCAGAACAAAATCTGGGAAAATGGTTTGTGATCTCAGCAGCTCTTTTGTTCTCTGGAGGCCTGTGTGCTGCAGCTCTGTATCTCATCTGCCCTTTGAAGGAATAGCCATGTTCCCTGGGGCTGCAGCCCTTGGTCTTCCTGCAAAGTCAGTGACTACACAGCATGGGGAGAGTCCCACATGTTGGGTGCTGACCCTGCCCTCAAAGTAGAGAGGTACTTAAGCCTTCAAGGAGCAAATGGTTTTATCCTAGACAAGCTAGGTTCTGATATTTTAAATATCAAGACACAGTTGAAGTGGTGCAGTTAAGTAAGATGTTGGTTAGGTCAAATGTTTTTGAGAAACGGGGATGAACAGAGCAGTATCCATGGGGCTGCAGGTCTTAGATCCATTCCCTGAATGACTCATCTCACAGCTCCTACAAATTCCCCTTGAGAAAGGTCATCCCAGGTATTGTGCTAATAATACTTTATTTCCTGGGTAGGTGTGGCTGGGATTGTGCACCACAAACAGGCTGGCCTGAGAGTCACAGCAAGAGCCCAAACTCACCAGAGCTGAGCCTGAGTGCAGAAGCCCTGACTTTTGGGGCTGGTTTTAGAGCTTAATCTGTTAACTCAAAGCATCAGAGTGGGACAGAGTAGAGGAGCTAAACTTCTCCAGGGATTAATATTAAGCCTTTGTTTAACAGTAAACAGCTGATGAAATCCACCTTTGGCTCTGGGTGCCATCTGTCAGGGAGGTACTTCCAGGCCACCTCACAAGGGCAGGACAACCTTTGACAGAGAACAGGAGAGTGCCCAGTTCTGACTGTCCGCAGGTCACTTGGTTTATTTTGTTTTGTGTAATCCCCAGCAGCTTCTTCACAGAGGGGCTGCTGCTTTGGCCAAAGGGAGATAGTCCTACTCCAGCAAGGAGCTGTGACCTGCCCTCCTCAGGTTAGACAGCTCCTCCTCAGCCAAGCAGCTGGGGAGAGCAGAGCGGGACAAAGGGGTTCAGGCCAGACAGAGATGGAGCCAGATCCTCACACATGGGCACTACAGCCTCTGAACAAGCAGCCATGCCTGAGGCTGCTCTGTTTTATAGCTGTTCTGTTCACTGCAGAGCCGTGCCAGCCCTGCTGCTGCCAGGCTGCATCCTCTGCCACATCCTCCTTCCTACCCCTCCCTTGCCAAGGCACTTCCCTCCACTGTGTCTGATCGAAGGCCCAGCGCCTGTTCAACTTTTGTTCTCCATTAGGAAAGAGTGAGGATTGATAGGACCTTTCTGGCTCTGCCAAGGCCTATTATGTCCCAAATGTTTCCATGAAAAGACTCCCTCCTGACCACCCTGCCCCCTGACAGCCATTCAATCCAGCCAACAAGCTTGATATCATTATCTACAAAAGGAGGCCAGCGAGCACCAGGGTCCTCACGGCCAAGTTTGGGAAATCAAAGGCAAAATCTCCCAGCAACAGAGAACTGGTAGAGATCAGACTGCACCAGGGCTAGTGCAGGCTGCTCTGGCAGCTTGCAGCCACTCGTGTTCCAAGATCATCAGAAAGGTGTTTGGAGTGGTGCCAGCACTGCCTTTGTCAGCTGAGGCTGTGCCCTGTGAGCTGGCAGCCCCTCACAGAGTGCCCTAGAGGCCACTGGAGCAGTCATTAGTTTGGACAGCCTTGTAAAGGTGTCTCTTTTCATCAGTGGCATGTCTAGATTAGCCACTTAGGCTCAGGGAAAACAGTGATGTTTTGGGTCAGAGTGGGATTCACTCCAGGTCCCACCTGGGACTTTCCTTCTAATGACTCTGGTTTACATTCTCAAAATGGCATGTGGCTGCTTTGTCACTTTTAGTTTGACATGGTGTTCATCTGCTTTGCTTCCTGTCCAAAGATTTTCTTTCCCAACTGTCTTGAAATAGCTCTTCAGCAGTGAAAGCACTTACCATAGTGAAGGCATCTGTAGAGATGATCTGGAAAGGTGACACTCAGAAACACTGAGCATGGAAGGGGCTTGAGGAGGGGTGGCATATTCCTGTTGTGCAATTGTGTTAGGAAATAGTGCAGTAAAACTGTTTTCAGTGCATTTTATCTCACAAACTGTATCTCTGGTTTGCTTGATGTTCCAGCTAGAAAGAGATATAAAAAACAGACAAGAGAAATGATGATGCAGAGGGCAGGAAGGTGAAGGGAGCTGATGTAGTTGAAGCTTGGGTGGATGATGATGCCTGGACTCACCCCTTTCTGCAGCAGGGCAGTGTCACCAAAGCCTAGAGCAGCCCCTGGGTCCCTGTGGGTTTGCAGTGGGTGATGAATGCATAGGAGGACAGAGTTGTGTGTAACACGGGGTTGTTAACTGTGGCTCTCTCCCCTCCTGTCCCAGTTTGATCCTGACAACACTGGCTACATCAGCACCGAGAAGTTCCGCTCGCTCCTCCAGAGGCACGGCTCGGAGCTGGACCCCCACAAGCTGGAGGTGCTGCTGGCCCTGGCAGACAGCAACTCCGAGGGGAGGATCTGCTACCAGGACTTCGTCAACCTGGTGAGTGCTCTGGCCTGTCACTCCTTGGCTCTGCTTAAAACATGGGCTGTTGAGGCACAGTGTCTCTTTCCCTCCCTTTATTAACACCAGTGTTTGCTGCATCATATTCTGCATGGACTTGCTTCAGCAAGAGTCAAATTGCTTCTGATTTTTCCAGGGAAACAAATTTGCACAGGAAGGAACTATGGGAACTGTAGTAATATCATGAAGCAATGGCTGCTGCTGCTTTGGAAGTTTTTGCTCTCAGTATCATTTGCTAGCTGCTATAATGAGCCATTTGTTTGCAAGCAAAGGTCTGTCAGTCTGGATGTCTCCTGTTTTATCTAGAGATTTCACCGCTTCCAGACAAAAATGTATAGATAACTTTGTGTTGACATGCTGGGTGGAGTCATATTGCACTGCTGTAGGCATCAACAGCAACAGGGATAAATTGTTTCTAGGTCCCGTTCATTTTATGCCAGGTGAGGTGTCTCAGAGTGCATGAGTCATGATCTGGATGCCTCTCTATCTCTACTAATGAGTCAATTAGTGAAGGGATCGCTCTGTTTCTTGTCAAGGCAGTTTGTTGAGTCAACACAATTGCAGACGTGTTGTCAGGTGCCCAGGATGGCTTAGAAATGTTGTTTGCAATGTATCTTGGACACTGGCCATTCAGAGGCCTTGCCTTGTTCTTACTCTGTCATTGAACACCTGAATCCCAGATTTAATGCAATATTAATATAAGCCTGGGTGACAAAGTCAAAGAGGAATGGGAGTTGGTGACATCTCTGAGGTTTCTGTGGAAAGCTGGATGTGTCCTTGTTGCTGAGTACAGTAATTTGTATTCCCTGTGTGTTCTGCAGACAGTGTGGGATTTGATCCCTTTATTTGTCATGGTCACTCATGCACATGTTCTTGCTTTAGAAAGAGTCCTGCATAGGTCCTGTTTTCACAATTATCAGAGAAGTGTGAGAACATGGCCCAGCTGTCAAGGACCCAGGTCATGACCTCCATCAGGCTGTGGGCAGTGTCAAGGTGAAGTGACTTTGCTGGAATGACATAAACCTGCTGGATCTAACCAGGCAGTCTTGTAAGCCCCTTGCCCGTGTCTAGGTACACAGTAGAATAAATGCAGCAACTCTCTAACAGATTACACAGTGTGAGGTTTTCCTCAGCTCCAGCATAACAAACAGTGTGGTCCTCAGTGCTCAGCAGAGTATTTATAGTAACAGCTGCTTGTTCCACAGTTGGGGAGATTCAAAGTACTGTGCAAGCGTTCGCTAATTGGGCTGCACAACCCTTAGGTAGCAGGAAGAGGCATCATCGAATTTCTTTTACAGAAATGATGGCCTAGGGCCAGCCAACACATTGGCAACAGGCTCAGGAATAGAGCTGGGCTTTTTTCTCTCTCCTTGCTCCACAGGGCTCAGGAGCAGCACGCACTAATGAGAGGTGGGTGGGAGCTGAAATGCTTGGACATTCTCCCCCTTTGGGAACAGGAGGCTGTGCCAGCTCACACCCAGGTGATGGGGTTTTTGCAAAACAGCAAATTTCCTTCACTACTATTGAATGACTCCTATAAAGAAGCCATTGATTTTCCTGTCACCAGCCCCTCTATCCTTGTCTGCATTTTTTGCACTTTCTAATCAATAGGCAATGCAAATGCCAAAACATTAAACTACTTACAAATGACATCTCTTTTCTCACTTCTCCTCTAGTTTCTATTGATTTCCAGCATCCAAACTTTTTTTAGGGCTCCTTCTGAACTTTCTTTTGAACTTCCTGATGGAAAGAAGCAGCACATTTGATGCAGAATCACTGTGAAATTAGGGATTTCCTTCACCTCCTAGCTGTCAGCCCTCGGTGTGGTGGTGTTTAGGTACATGTTTGTGCTTGATGATCATTAGCCCTCCCTGCTTTATGCTCAGGTTAATTTGTCTGTTTCAGTAGCTTAGCAAGAACTGATCTGCTGCCAAAAATGATGTTGCTGGGTGTGGGGATGGAAAGGCTGACCTTTCACTAAACCAGAGGCTTTACAAGCAAGGCTCTCTGTATGTATGATTTTCCTTTTCTCCAGCATCATTATGAGCACCAAGATCTCTGCCTGCTCTCTCAGGCACTGTGATCCCCACCTAAAGGACTGCTATTGAGCAAAGCTATGTTATCCTCTGATGTCCAAAATGTTTTGTGAACTTCTAGATACATCAAAAATGTAATTATAGCTCTTCTCACCTTAATAGCAGCATCCACACGTATGCCTGCTCTCAGTAAAGCAACTTAAATTTATGAAATTGAAAGTTTTAAAATATGACACTAGACCCCAGAAAGCACTCGGGAAATAAATTGAGAAATGAATAAATTCAAGGAAGATGAAAACTCCTGGTGTGATCTGCAAACAGAAAAGGCTCAAAAAGATCAGATAGGCAGCTCATTGGAAATTACTTCTCCTCTGTGTGTGTGAAATTCAGCTCATGTATTTGTAAAACACAATGCTGCAATCATATCCATTTCTGTTTCTGCACTGTGGTTTGTAGTAATGGCAGAAAGGAGTTTCAGATGGGATTTCTTATGCTGTGTCTGAGACAGTGCAGAGTAACAAAAGTGTTTCCTGTACAAGTGGAGACATCTTGTGCATCTGTGCTCTCTGGTTGCTTTGCAGCATTGTGAAAAGAGATGCACAGAGAAAATTCTGGCTGTGAGCAGCATGGGCCACAGCAGGAGATAGAGAACCAAGGTGTTTAACTAACTTTGCTACTTTCAGAGAAGAGACAAGCCAGGAGTTAATTATCCTTGAGATATTGTTTGCTGGGATTCTTGCTGAACAGCAGTTGCTGTTACTTCACATAATATCCCGTGAGCTGTAATAAAGCTTGCAGTAAGTAGTAAGCTCTAAGACAGAGTTCATGTGACTTGGGAAAACAAAGCACTGCTGCTTCCAACAGAAATGTTTAGCTGTGGCTTTGTAGTAACTTGAAGTTGATGTAATATCTCAATAATGGGCAAAATATATTAACTAATTAAATGCACGTCCTTTATTTTCCAGATCAAGAATCACTACCTGCTTTGCTTTCCCTGGCCTTGCTGGCTTCTAGAGACAGGCTAATTCTACCTCATTTTTAGTGTGAACAAGGCACATTTTTGAAGCACTGTGTAGCAATGTTATTTGAACCACAATGTATAGTCTTGTCCTGCAAGCAATGTTCTTTCAAGTAACCTTGCAATTTGAAAGTGTTTTACCTTTTCTACTGGAAGTGCTGGAAGGCCTAAGCCTGGCACATTTAATAAGAATCAGGCAAAACCTTGAGCAGGGATAATTTATTTTGTCTCTTCTGCCTCTTTCTTTGAATCCCTTGAGTAAACCACTGCTTGGTCCCACCAGATCAGAATGTTGGTATTTGGTATTCAGGTTTTTTTCCCTTTGATACTATTTGGGAAAGTGCTACCAGGTTGGCTCAGAGGATGTGAACATCTGTGACAGATGAACTTAATGCTGAGATATGCATTTTGGGGAAAGCTGTCTCTACCCACATTAGCATTTTGTAGAAGTGTGGGCAGAGGGAAGGAAATAAATGTGAATCTTGAAAGCAAAATTGATTGGAGAGGTTGCATTTGTAAGCAAAGTGGGTTATAAAACTGGAGCTGGCAGAGGCTTTTAAAAAGCTTGTGCTAACTTCTGATTTAATGTTCTGTGTCTTGGAGGATCAGAGCTGGAGAGCTGAATGCATTGCCTGTCACAGAGCTGCATGTGTTTAAAAATAGCTCGAGACCAGTCTCAAAGATGCCAATACGTCATCGGCAGAAATCCATGTTTTCCAAACCTCCTGAGGGAGGCTGAATAAAACCATAAAAAGGGTGCTGTGCCCCACACAAGCCCTGAAACTGGAGATGGGGAAATACTACATGACTTGGCTATTGATTATCTGAGGTAGCCACAGTACTACAGATATCCAAGGAAGACAGAGAAATTGGTCTGCCAGTGGGGATGGACAGCTTCCTTTGCAAGTTGCAGATTATCCCTGAGTAATTTTTGAGTGCCATGTGTGCTAAACAAAAGCAGGGCTTTGTACTTCATCAAAGTTTGTCACTGTTCTACTCTCGACATCCTAAATGTTGACGTTTTCAGTGCTGAAGACAGGTTCAGATCTAAGTAGGAAAAAATCTTCCATTTGCACAGAGGTATCAGACCCAGCCCTTGAGCTGAGCTCCAGCCCTAAGCCTTGGTTTGTTTTGGTAGGGTGGTGCCAAAGGGCAGAGATGGCACCATCTGGGTACCAGTCAGCTCAGCCTGGCTCTTCTGCAAGGGAAATTTCTCTCTGCAGAACACCATTTTGCAGGCAGGAAGGACTAAGGGAATGTGTTGTTCCCCACTGCTATCTTCTCTCTCCACATACTGTTTGCTGTACCCATCTGCTTGCAGCTTTAATATCACCCTCATTAAAGAAGTCCTAGATCGATTGCATGAAGAGAAGTGGGGTGGGCTGCCCTGGGCTCCTGGAGCCATGATAATGTGCAGGCCAACAATGGGCCTAGTGTTCTTTCAGCTGATGATTAAACACTTGGCTCATAAATACCAATATTATGTAATTCCAAAATCCAGTCAGCAAATTGTGACCATATGCGAGATTCTATTTGGGAAGATTTGAGTCTTCCAAAGTCAGTCTGAGGAACAAAATAGACTTCTCATCAAGAACTGGTGAGAGCAGCAACACTGACTTAATCCTCTGTCCCTCCTCATGCCCATCTCCTCCTAGCTTGATCCAAAGGCCCTGTGAGTGGGGCCAGGATTGCTGTGTGTGAGCCCTGGCAGTCAGCTGTGCTGTCTCTTTGGAATCACCTCCTCCTTGGTGCCATGGCAATGTGTGCAGGTGGGGACCAGCAGGATGCCTCCTTCCTGAGACGTCTGATTTCAACAAGGGCTCAGTGTATCCACTCACCCACATCTTGAGGGATTGTGGGGGCTTTTCACCATGCGTGACACACTCCTGACACTGTGTCCCTGCCTCATTGGGGTGTAAAACCACGCCAAGACTGCAGCATGTAGAGGGAACCTGGACCTTCTCTCCATATCCTTTGCTCTAAAGACGGTCTGGCAAATGTTTTTATGTCCCTTCCATGTTAGCTTCTGTGTAGGGTGTGCAAGGTCCTGTGATTTATCTTCCTCTCTGGAAGACGGAAGGCAGAGCTTTCTGCTGAACAGTGGACAAGTTTCCTACCTCCTCAAAAGAGCCAGTGGAGGCTTTGGTCATCTACAATGATCCTGCAATATTTTCCTCTTAAATCTAAGAAGACCTTTCCCTGTTTTGTTTTGTTCTATTGAGGAGAATCTTCAGAAATGTCATGGTGATGCATTTGCAGTGCCCTGGCTGTTTTCTGGGCTCCATGGGCAGCACAAGCATTATTGCAGAGAGGCCACTGGACTGATGGGGCTGTGCTGAGTTCAGGTGACTGAACAGAGCCAGTCCCTGGTAACAGTAACAGAGGAGTTCAGGGTGCCTCCCTTAGGATCCTCTGCTCAACAGAAATCTTTAGCATAGCATAGAAATCTTTGATATGATCCTAACCATGGACATAGCAGCTTTGGAGTTTCCTGCCCATCTCCCTTGGCAATCTCTGCACTGATGAGGTGATCATCTACTGAGGGTGGCCAGCCCTTCTTGATGCTGAAATGATGATTTTCCTTGACTCTGGAAATTATTATCTTTTCCACTGAAGTGCTGCAACAGGGAAAAGCACTGACTGTTTTGTGGTAGGCAGGAAATCCCATTTATCACTGTAATTGGAATAAGCAGATCAGCAGCTCCAGTCAACTGTCTGGCATCTTCAGGCAATTTTATAGTTTCAGTCTGAATTTATTCTTGTCCATAAGAGGGGCAAAGCCAGAGGGAAAGAATGAACTTTGTGAGGGAGCACATGCAGAACATCTCTAAAAGGCTGTTCTGAACTAACCTGGAATTAAGCTTTCTTCTGTGGGCACAGAGAGGTCATTAGGTGGCTCAAAGTATCTTTGAAACAGAGGTACATCTTTTACCTAGCAAAAGGCATCTCACACATGCTAAGAGAAGCCTTGTACCTGTTGGATATTTCTCTGTGAAAATATTATCTTTCAGTATGAACAAGCTTCCTTAATGCAACAGAGGACCACAACAATTTCAACAATTTTTCCCCCCTCATCTTCTCTAGTTGTAGATACAGATCTTTGGATGATAGACATGAGAAGACTGAGAGAGAGACTCTGTGGACATTTTTTTTCTTCTTTGTTTTTCTGCTTTTTTTACAAGAAAAGTTCTTTTACAAGTGTTTTCTAAATCAATGAAGGAAAGAGAGAGCAAAGGAGAAATTCCGCAATAGAGAGAGTTGTTAGGGTAAAACATCTTCTCACTGAAACAACTCAAAGAGAACAACAGCAACACATTTTTCCTCAGTTTAGAAGAAGTATAACAACATCAATTGGAGGTCAGTGCCCTTCTGTGTTGGAGGGACAGGCTACAAATGAAGGCTAAGGAGGGATGGGCAGAGCAGGTCGCAGTGCCATCACCTCAGATGGCCCCTTGCCTTCCCCCAGTGATTAACAGGAGGTGGCTCCCTGCATTGATTACTGTGTTTAAGCAGCTTGGTCCAGCTTGGAGCAATTCCCTGACTGCCTGGGCACTGAGAGCACAAGCTCTGGGCTTTGCTGGCTTTGGGATATCAGCTGAAACCAGCAAGATCCAAGACAACTGCTGCTGAGTGTCTTGCCTTGCTTGGTTCTGGGAGGCTGGATGTGCTTTGAGAGCAGTTAGCAGCTCTCTCAGAAGGACCAGGCTGTCGTGTTTGCTCAGTGGAAGATCCCCCTGCAGCAGCCTGTGTACACACTGAGCCTTTGGAGCTCCCTGCCAAACATTCAGCCAGTACAGACAGTGGCTCTAATGCAGCAGGTTTGTTTGACATCAGGGCTAATTAACAATTATACAAATCTTGGAGCAAGCTCTTTCAGACCTGGTTTGTTCCTCCACCCCCAGAAGGCTAAGCATAAGATTCCATCTGCCTAATTTGCAAATGCAATTGCTTTAATTATGCATCCAAACTGGTAAAGTGTATGCTCAGAAAGATAGCTAAATCTATGCATGTGAGGTGATAATGCATATACAAATTAGCTGTAAGCCTGTGCCATCTCAGAGCCTGCCCCCACTGAGGATAACTTATAAAAGAAGCCTTGTAAAGGCTTGCAAGCTTACAGGAGCTAAGACAGCTTGTACAGGCGATTAATTTGTTGTTTGTTGCTGTTGCTCAGGCAGTTTTGTTTTACACAAAGAGATAATTTTCTTTGCCCAGAGCTAACTCCTGCCCCAAGGGTTAGATGTGCTCTGAAAGTGCCTGCTGCTACATTTGAGAAATTTCCTGCCCTAAGACTGCAGGGAAGTTTGATAGAGCAGAGGGAGCAGAGGGAAGGAGGACACAGGAATATGGATTGTGATAACTGATGGTGAAGACAGTGCATGGAAGGCTGGAGAATGGGCCATAGAGCTCAGCCAGGTGCATCAGCAACCTCTGCTCTGCCTTGCCAGATTTCTGCCCTGACCTCATTTATTAACATTACAATGGTAAACTGTGGTACTTGTTTTCCTTGCACCCCAAGCAGGTCACCCTGTCTTTGTCCCAAGTCTTGGTTCCTAGAGCTCAGCCTGGTGGTGGCTTTCCTGCCTGCCTGGATCTGGTGCTGCCAAACTGGCACTGTTCTCCCTGGTGACTGTGCCAGGCCTGTACTCATGGTTTCTTCTGTTCCCTTTTACCCAGATGAGCAACAAGAGGTCCAACAGTTTCCGCCAGGCCATCCTGCAGGGGAACAGGAGGCTGTGCAGCAAGGCCCTGCTGGAGGAGACGGGGCTGAGCCTCTCGCAGAGGCTGATCCGGCACGTGGCCTACGAGACCCTCCCGCGGGAGATCGACCGCAAGTGGTACTACGACAGCTACACCTGCTGCCCCCCGCCCTGGTTCATGATCACCATCACCATCGTGGAGGCAAGTACCTCCCTGGGAGCTCCCCACACTGCCCAAGGCCCTGCTGGGACACAGCCAGGGTTGGAGAGGTGCAGCCATAGTATTTTCTGAAAAATCCTTTCCTTAGGATTTTTTCTCCTGAGAAGCTGAGAGGCCTCAGGAACAAAATGTAAACAATGGTTATCTGCTGCTGTGGAATGCAACAAGTAAATCTGTGATTAGTCTCATGTAGTTGTTTCTAATTAATGGCCAATCACAGTCCAGCTGTCCCAACTGTCTCAGTCAGTCACAAGCCTTTGTTATCATTCAATTTCTATTCTTAGCCAGCCTTCTGATGAAATCCTTTCTTCTATTATTTAGTACAGTTTTAATATAATATATATCATAAAATAATAAATCAAACCTTCTGAAACATGGAGTCAACATTTTTGTCTCTTCCCTCATCCTAAGACCCCTGTGAGCACCACCACAGAGAGGGACTCGTTCACACCTGGACAAGGACAGATGTGAAGCCAGTGGCCATTTTGGTTGCCTGTTGGAGTGTGTGTTTAAGTGGGGACTGTGATCCTGTCACTGGAACAATCTGTATATGGGATTACACAGATTGGGAAATGAGAGCAAAACTGTTTGAGGAGTGAAAACAGGACAGTTCTAAAGAAATGGACAAGTCAATGGAATTAGAAATGTCTGTACAGCTACCTCTGTTTGTGAGTGGAGAGAAAAAGGAGGGGAGGGAACTCTGGGTAAAATATTCTGACCTGCTCATGTGTTGCCCAAATGAGATCTTTGCACATTTGCTGAGTAATGTGCTCGAGTAAGTACAGAGTAGGATATGACACTGATAGCAGGGTGCTGACTGGGAGCAGGGTCCTCTGACTCAGGGGCTGGTGTGTTACAAATACAGTTATCTCGATGTGTAGCAGGTCCCTCAAAACAGGGAATTTCATGCTGTGTGAAGCTTTCAAATGGGAGAAAAGTTTTTTATATATTACTTTTTCTCCATTATTTTAGCTAAAAGGTACTTGTTGGTGAGAAAAGGCATTTGGTAACCAATGAATCTCTCTGCTCTTCTAGGTTGCCTTTTTTCTTTACAATGGAGTGGTCTTAGACAGATTTGTGCTGCAAGTCAGCCACCCCTTGTACCTGAAGAATGCATTGCTGTACCATCCCCAGCTTCGGGCCCAGGCTTGGAGGTACCTAACCTACATATTCATGCATGCAGGGTGAGTACTTACAAACAGTTCAGGTTCCCCAGAGAGATAGAGGAAGTGACAGAATCAGCTCAGAATTAAATTTTAAAAACTCAGTTATAAATTGTGTGTAAAAATCTGGAGATGTTGTGGACTGGTGGGCAATGAGGTGCAAACCTTCACCACTCTCTGAAGGGAAAAGGCAATAAAAGGAACTTAACAGATGCTGCTCTCCTCCCCAGCAGTGTTGGGACCACACTTTTTTCTTACTGTGCACTTCCTAAAACCAGGTCAAAGCCCAGTGTTCCACTAAAGGAGCTGTGCAGGTGGTAAGACAAGTCTGCAAAGATGCTGGACTGGTATTTAAAAATACAGGGTGTTGGAAAAGTCAGTTAAATTCCTGTGCCTGGGACATGTCATCACTCAGTAATGTTGGTCCCTTCTGCAGGGATTGAGCTAATGCCTAGAAGGCTGTGTCAGGCCTGAACTCCCATTTTGTACACACTGAGCAAACTCAGTGTTCCTGAGGAGCTGACAGTCTCCAGTGACCAGATGGACACAGAGTGGTGTCCATGCAAAATGAAGGTGCACAATGAAATGAATCCTCCTTCATCCCATGGTATAAATGAATCCTCCTTCATCCCATGGGAGGAATGTAGCAGACTTGGGAAGAATATACAAGGTGTGGGGATTCTAACTCTGTTCTTCTCAGCTGTCCTAGTCCTCACAAAATTTAAATAGACTTAATTGTGTGATGTTTGTGATGCCATGGTGATGAGTAAGTGTCACTGGAAAGTTCATCCCTGTACAAAACATTCTACCCCCTCTGAAGAGTTTCTCAGATCATTATCTTCACACATTCCTGGCAGATAATTGCAATTTTCTTTAATTCTGTCATTGAAAAATGACAGCAGAAAGCCTTTCAGCAATAGTGTAGAGCTTGAAACTGCATAAGGACCCTTTGTTCTTAAATGGAAAGCCTATATTTCCATCACTCAATGTTCTTCTATGAAAGGCCAGAAAGATCAAGCTGATCTTTGCCTTTTTTCCACATCTCTGATGGAAGACATGCTGATATCTCTTCCCTGCCATGGAATAACTTCCTTGGTGTGTAATTGCCCTGGAGCACAAAATGTGCCCCAGATCCCTGGATAAAAACAGACTCCACCCAAGGGAAGAGTAGGGAAAAGTTTTTAGAGGAAACTTTTGGCTGTGGCAGCCTCTGTCCTCTGCAAAGAGCCCATATTACACAGATTCCATCCTGCAAGGGGGACTGCTGGGCTTAGACATGAGGCTGGTTTCATGAAATGAGAAATGAAAATTTCCATCACTGAAAATATGGGGAAAAGTGGCCTTGTAAAAGAAAGAATAATTTTAACTAATGTTAGTTAATTTATATTTGGGCTTTCTTTTGATGGTGGTGGTGTTTTACCATATCCCTTCTATAACTACAGATTGCTCTAGGATACATTGGAGGAGAAACACCTGCACAAGGACAATTTCCCAGCACTGAATGCCTTTCTGTGGCATGATTTCCTAACCTGTGCCAGGTCACCCTTGTAGCAAGCAGTTCCCTGGCATTCTTCACACTCACTGGCCAAAAATCCCTCAGTTCATTTCACCTCTGGCTGACTCAGAGTGGAGCAGTGGAAGGTGGTGAGCCGGGAACTCTTCATGATGGATTCCAAGTCCTTTAGCTACACAGCCTTTAAAATGGAGAGTCCCACTGGAACAATAAACCTTGTGATTTATCTGCAGTATCTGGAGTTAAGCTAAATGTTCCTTTATTTCTAAGTTCTCTGAATTAAGCTCCTTTCTTGTGAGGAAAACCGATAAATCTTGGAAAGGTAATATTGTCTTTTAGTGGACACCCATCATTCTCCTCTCAATTTTCAAATGAGAGGATAGCACAATGCCATGGGTCTATTGTTACCCTGCTTCCAGCTGAGACTTTTAAATGGTAATGTGGACTGCTCCTAATTTAGTGCACTCTGTCTTTTTTTGAAGAGCAAGTGGCAGCTGGAAGGTGTTTGAGAAGGCAGCAGTTGCTAAGGCTTGGCTGGCTGTGCCTCTAGAAAGATTCCAAAAATGTGCAGGCTGTGTGTTGGTTCTGATGGAGGGAGCTTTGTCAAGGGCTGAAAAGGCGAAGTTGTAAATTCTGCCCTTCTGTTTTCATGGAAAGCAGACGTTGATAATCTGAAGCCCACACATTTGTATCACTGCCATAACTAATGACTTGCATTGATGCTCAGTCCCATTTGTTTGGTCCCAGGGAAGGAGAAAGTCCTTAATAAATCAATGAAATTGTCATTTCAAGAATGACACATTCAGCACTGGCAAAGGGTAATTATATTTTATGGGTACTTATTGACTCTGGTGCCTTCAAAGCTCTTAGCATGATGGGGAAGAGAAGTGAATGGGATTGCTCCTGGGAAGTCTTTTAAGAACAGCTGTGAATCAGAGCAGTCACTTCAGAGTCCAGGATAAACTTTGCTGAGCTCTTACAAAAGCTTCCTTTGAAAAATAAGACCCAGTGCTTTGTGTGGAAATGTCAGGTGCCACCTCATGATGCTGACTGTGTGCCAGCCAAAGCTTCTTCCCTCCCCTCTGTGAAAGGGCACTTGGATGTTTGGACTCATCCCAGTGATCTCAGTTTGACCTTTGCTGGTTGTTCCTAATTTAATTCCCGGCGTTCTGTGAGCATGCGGGATCAGAGCGAGTGCTGACCCTGCCCAGTGGCTTCAGAAGGTTTGAAAAGGTAATGAAGGAACTCAGTTACATGCAGCAGGTTCCCATGATGAAAAATTGCAGTGCTGAGTGCATTGTGCAGGAGGGAGATTCATCTTTGGAGAGAAATTCAGTGGAAACAAACTTATTAAGATATCAGGAGACGATTGTTCTCTGCAGTATCATTTCTAGCACTTTTTTTGCAGTCCAACTTTACATTCTCATTTATGAGACTGTTCTGTCATTACTGAATCTCACCATCAGTGTTTTTCTCTGCTCTATATGGGAAATTGCTATGGTAACATGAAAAAGATCAAAACAGTGGAAATGCATATAACTTAATCCAAAGTTTGCTAGTGCCTGCCTGTGAGCAACCCTTCTCTTGTATAAAATAAGATGTATATTTTCAAGACATTAGGTACTTTGCTCTCTTTTCCCCAAAAGATGCTGGCCTTCTGCATTAAGGGTACCACTGTGTCATTTAGATCCATCTATTTTGTAAGCAGGTTCTCTTCATACAAAGAGCAGGATGCCCTTGGCTCCAGTGGGACGTCACCATTCAGTGAGATCACAGTCCTGTGAGCCCAGGGTAAATCTCAGACAATAGCAGAGAGCTGAGGATCCTGCTCAGGGCCTGGTGCTGGTGTCAGCTCACTGGAGGAGCCTACAGATGAATGTCTGTATAGAGCTTTGAAAAATGGCAGGTCAGGTTTGTTAAGTGGTATTGATTAAAGCAACAGAGAACTTGAGTTGAAGATGTTGATTCAGCTCAGGGGAGATCTGCTACCCAATACACACATCTGAGCTGTCACACTGCCTGCAGCTGCAAGTGGTCCTGCACTGTTGGCAGTGGGGTTGCTGGGGTTCCCTCAGCCCAGCTTGTTCCTGTGTGTTCAACAGGAGATTTGGAGTTTTGCTGTAATGGGAACAAGGGTGGGTGAAGGGAGAGCATCAGTGAGTACACCTGGGCACCTCAGCAGGGATCAAAATGCCCTCTGCTTCCCATTCTGACCACTGAAGTAGGCACAGCAGAAAAGGGTGAGGGTCAGACACCCATGCTGTAAAGGGGCATTACAGCACCAGGAATTGGCAGCTCTGGAACTTCTACATCCACCTCGTTCTTAACAACCCATCATGGCAGTGTGATGTGTGCAGGGAAAAGTGGAATCATTAGGAGAGGAGAAGAGAAGGGCAGGTCAAATTTCTAACTTCTGTTCCAGGCTCTGCTGCCATCTTGCTGCTTTTTTCTTGACAAGTCATTTAACTTTTTCAAGCAAAGAAAAAGGAAACAAATGTCTGACTAAGAACCAAACATTGTACAAGGTCTTTAGCTGAAAGGACCTGCGTGGATATGGAAAAGATAAAAGCAGCAAGGAGGGAAGAAATGTTTCAGTTCTGGGTCTGATTTTTTCTGGAATCACTGTTTTGCCCAGTGTTAGTCTATTTATGTGAATTGGGTGCTATTTGATTTTCTCAGTGGTAGAGAAAGGAGATGAAGAGTTGGAAAAGAGGACAACTGTTGTTTTTCCTTGCTGCAGGATAGAACACCTTGGGCTCAATGTTGTCCTTCAGCTCTTGGTTGGGGTTCCTCTGGAAATGGTGCACGGAGCTGCGAGGATCAGTTTTGTGTACGTTGCAGGAGTTGTGGCAGGTAGGTGACACCTCTGCATGCCCCAGGTGGAGAAGCAGTGAAAATGGTCTGTGCTGGCTTTTGAGTTGGAGAAATCTTTTGTGATATTTGGGATTAGGAGAGGAACATTCACTGATCTTTTATGCATTGAAATGCTTTGCAGGGCTGGACATAGAAAATATGGTACAACTTGACATCTGTGTCTATGCAGCCATAGACTCTGTGTTTAGGAGGCTTGCTAAAAATGCACCAACTGCCTGTTATTTTAAAAGAGCCTTGCTTTAGATGATCTTCCTGAATGTGGAGTCATGCTGGTCCTGTGGCAGTTCTTCCTCCTTTTGTTCTGTCTGTCACCTTTCTACAGCCTAAGTAAGCAAGAAGTGTTTGATAGTAGATTGTGAGCAGTGCACAGAAATCTGGGAAATTCATTTCATTATTAAGCTATGGGGTCTGATTGATTTTTAGTTTGTGCTGAATTGCTTTTATTTATGTTTGGAATTTCCAGCAGTTTGGAGGTGATGGAAGCTGACAATAGATCAAAATCTAGTTAAAACAGAAGGAGGGTGTGAAAACAACCAAGAGCTTTACAGTGGAACTCAGTGATTGACTACCTTTGTGCAAGATTTATAGTGTTTGTTTGGTTTTTTCCAGCCACTTAATTACTTTTTCCATAATAAGCAGATAAACCCTTTGCAGAATGGGCTGCACTGGGTACCAATAAATCCTGCATTCCAGGAGACAGTCTGTGGAAAGAATAATTGGACTAGGACACAGGATGAGGCATGGTACAGACATCAATGGTATTTAAAGCAGAGAAAGGAGTTAGCAGAGCAGCTCCACTGTCCCCTGGCTGTTATTTTAACAAACACTAACAAAAGTGGTGCCCAATTTGCAACTTCCCATATAAAGCTTTTCTACACAGATACACCTACCAAACCCTAGGACTTCACTGATATCTTAGCCAGTTATGAAACATCCTTTATTCTTTGTCATGTGCCAGGAGAGAGGAAAATGGGTATATTCATGCTGAGGCAATATAGAGATAACTCAGCTGCTAAATAATCAGGAATAGACAAAATGTAAAATGTAAAATGTAGTTGGGCCACAACTTTTATGGTTCTTTCTCATTTGTCTGGCTTTACTAAGAAGACACATTAAGAATGGAAATTGAGGCGCTCAGTGCAGTGTCTGAGGACTTAACTGCAAGTTCTTATTACTCCTCCTCTATTTCTCATTAACTTTTTCCTTAATGGCAGTGTGTAAGAGCTGAGAACTCTCAGGGCCATACAAGCAAGGAGGGAGCTATCAGCAGAGCTGGCTGGTGGAAGCTCAGCACTTTCTTGACCTGGAATCAGTTGGGCAATTAGCAAAGAAGTTCATTAGATTCCGTGCTACCAAGGGCTCTCTCAAGATTTGCCAATATGTCTTTTTCCCATTCCCAATCATCACAAAGATCTTCATTATCCCTTCCTTGTGACAGCAAATCTGCCTTTCCCTCTATCACTTAAATTATTCTTAAAGTCAGCGATGAAAGGAGCTTTGAGCAGATCCAAGCCTCCAACTGGGATAAGAAGAAGCAATGTCTGTGTTTGGCTGTATTGTCATTAGTGGTGCCTTTATGTACTTGACCTGTCATTTTGCTGTCATGTGCCTACTGCCTCCATCCAGGTTATTTTGGACTAGTTTTACTCTGAAGTTTTACAGGTAATAGGCTGTGCTTTGATCAGAGGTCTGTGCTAAGTTACAAGTCCCCAGCTCCTTCTGCCTGTGCTAATATTTTTCTTGCCAACACGGGAGCTACTTCTTTTTTATCTTCAGGTGAGAAACAAACACAGACGTTTGTCTGTCTCCTGCTCCCTTGTTCCTTCAATCAGGGAATAAATGCCTTTTTGCAGGACAAGTTTAAAGACACATTGCTGCCTTGCTTGGCTGCTTTTAAAGTAGGTGCAGAGGAATCAATCAGTCACTGCCTTGACAGGACTGAGTTGGCTTCATGAGTCAATCAATTTCCCCCTCCTTCTCTTTCTGCATTCCTGACCTGCAGCAATTAGCACAAACAGGCCATAGCAGGGAGCTAGGGTAGGAGAGGGTGTGTTTATTTGGTGGGCAATTGTCACAAAGCTTTGTTGTTTCCCTCAGGGTCTCTGGCAGTGTCAGTGGCTGACATGAGGGCGCCGGTGGTGGGCTCCTCTGGAGGTGTGTATGCTCTTGTCTCTGCTCACCTGGCCAATATTGTGATGGTGAGTACCAGAGTGACTGTCTGACCTCAGAGGGAGCCACGTCTGGTGGCCCAAAGGGGCTGGAAGTAAGGCCTGACCCAGCTGTTGGTCATTCAGAGCTTGCCCCAGCTAAGACTCTTTGTCTCAGTGTTGTGGTTCTGGAATGGAAATATTACCTTGCACTCGGTGGCTTGGTACCCTGATAGCTGACAGTTTGCCAGGACAACCTAAAGATGTTGGTAATCCAAGATTTATCAGTGTTCTCCAGGCTATCAACTCTCCATGCAAATGTTGGAAAAGCAGACTGGCTGTGCAGAAGTGGCAGACCTGTTTCTGTCTGGATGTACTGTGTAATTTTAGTGAATATCTCTGGAAGTTTAGCATTCAGTGGATTCATGTGCAGAATATTCCTTATCTCCATTTGTAAAACCCAGACTGGAGATGAGCCCTGGGTGATCCAATGATGCATTTCTTTGCTGTTTCACCTGATGAAATACTTTACAAAGGTGAGCAAACACCAGCATTGTCATTCTTCTGAGGCTGGAAACAGGAGCTCATCCCCAGCCCTCAGCTAGGTGGTGGCAAAGCCCAGCAAAGCTGCCCTGGGGACTCCTCAGCTGACACTGGGCAAAAAAGGCTTTGCTGATAGAGGATTCATGTGTGTCCTGTACCAGCAATATCAGAGCAGAATAACCACAAAAATGAGGATAATGCTCCTCCCCTGGGTCTGAGTGGGAAGATAACGTGAGGTGGCTGCAGTAGAGACAGCAGATCTGTTATATGGGTGATGGAAGATGTGTGTGGTGGTGGTGGAGCCAAGCCTAAAAGAAAACCTTGTGCTTGATGCTTGTCTGCAGCAGAGTCAGCAGGCTCCAGCTGTGACCCTCAGTGCTGCTGCAGACAGCTCTGTAACAGCTGGGAAGTGAGAGATATCCTGAGCAGAACTGCTCTGCTTCACCCTCTCCAAGCTTTTCAGAGCATGAGTGAGCTGAGGCTGCTGTCCAAATGAGACAGCTGAGTGGCTGGCAGAGCTCAGGAGGGGAGGAGAGGGGCTGCCCCTATAGCACAGGGTTTCTGCTGGGGAATTGCTCCCCTGCATTCAGTTCTTTCCAGTGTGATTTGTGTTCCCTGCACTGTGCCAAGGACAGCAGGAGGGAGCTTCCTGTGTCTCTCAGGGTGGTAACGCACACTCTGGGTTTTTAACACCACAATTCACAGGGTTAGAGGGGGACATTGGAGGAAATTTTAGTCTGCTTTAGAGGAACAGGATCTTCCAGAGGTTGTGAAGAGTTTTCAGCAGTTACCTTCCCTGACTTCTTAGAACATCACAAAATGATCTGTCATTTCACTTCTCATTGGCCTCTGCCAAATCTATTTAGCAACTGCTACCTTAGCATCTTTATTTCTCCATTATCCACTGCCTCTCTTCTCATCTAAAAATATTTTTGCTGCCTTTCCAGTTCTGGTGGAGGGATGTTTTTGCTTTCTTTTCCCCCCTTGTCTCCCTGTGCTCACTTGTTATCTAGATGCAATGCTCCTGCACACTGAAAGGCATTGCTGTTTGCTGCAAAGCTCAGGCTGGCACAGCCGGGGACAGCAGGGACTGTGGCAGGGAGGGTCTCTGGAATCTTCTGCTCCCTCCTGGTAACCAAAGGAAATGGAAACATTCCTGCTTGGAAAAAGAAATATTATTGGAATGAAATACATAAAATAACCAACAGGGGGAAGCAATAAAGCATGTCCCCCCAAGGAAAAGGGTGAGGGGAGGGATTCAAAGCAGCTACATGGAAATTAAAAGTGAAAGAGGCAGCACAGTATTAATCAGCATGAGCTAAGAGCTTTCTGACTGGGTTAGATCTCTCTGTGGAGAGAGAAAATCAGTTACTTATTTTGTGGAGGTTGCATTTTTTGCCATCCCAGGTGTCCTTAGAGATAGTCTGAGGAGTTTACAAGCATTCTTTTTATTTCTTCAGTGTGACAAATAGGGAGCTTTGCACAACAAACATGATTATCATGTTATCTCAGTCTGCCTTCAATAGGCAAATTTTCATTTAGTCACATAATAGTAATGATAAAATAATAATAATGTTGTCATACATCTGAATTTCTCAAAACATGATCTCTTTTCCTGCTTTAAAATTATGTGTGAGTGGAAAAGGAGGACTTTTAATATTTCTCCATTATTTCTGATTATCATTCAGAGATTTTTATTCCACTATATTGATTAATAACCAAGCCTGAAGACAGAGGAGACTAAGTTCAGGCTTTTTTATGGCACTGTTACCTTGACATGCTTTTATTGAAGTCTTTATTGTTTCTCTGTGCTCTGCCAAAGATCTGAGCTGCAGAATTTCAGGGAGCCTGAGGCACAGAAGGTAGCATTGAAAAAGCACAGTAGGTCTTGAATGCACTGAGAAGTTGCCTGACAAGTGACAGATTTAAGTGTAATCTCCCTTCAGGTTTGTGTGCAGCATTACTTTGTTTTCCTTGTCTCTTTTCCAGAACTGGTCAGGAATGAAGTGCCAATTCAAACTGCTGCGCATGGCTGTTGCCTTGATCTGTAGTAAGTACCACACAGTGCTTGGCACACGTGCAGCCAGTCCTGTTTTGTTTGTCCTTGTCATAATACTTCATGCTGATTCAGAGGGTTTTGACTTTGCAGCAGTTTTGGTAGGAACTTGCAGCTGGACCTCCTGGCAGCAGGAACCACATTGCTCTCCACTGCAGATTTTGGCTTTCAACACAAGCCTTTGTAAACAAGGATTTGTCATTAGCCAGCATCTGTAGCCTGTGGTGTTTGTGAAGGAGCTTAAACATCTTCTCTCTGCAGTCTCAAACATGCAGTGCTTTCATAATGATAATACTTGGGTTTCCTAGAGCACATCCTGTCTGGGGTGGCAGCAGCATTATACCCACCCTGTGAATTCTCTTCCTGCCCTATCCTCAGGGGGGCACAATAAGGGAAACTAAGCTGTGTGTTCATCACAGAGAGCTGTCTTCAAATTCTAACTCATTTTTGTTATGCTTTTGGTATAAATTTCAGAAGGTGAATATTCCCCAACCTATCTACACTCTCACAAACCCAGACCACTTTCCAGCCACTGGAGAGACCTCATGTCTGTGTGCCACAGCCCTGACATAGCCACAGCTTCCCTGTGCTCACCATACCAGGCAATTTCTTTCTCCCTCTCTGTCTCCTCAGGGATGCAGTGCTGCTCACAACATGGACTTAGGAAGGATAAACCTAGACAATTAACTCATTTTTTTATTCTTTGTTCCAGTGAGCTTTGAATTTGGAAGAGCCGTGTGGCTGCGATTCCACCCCTCTGCTTACCCCCCCTGCCCCCACCCCAGCTTCATGGCCCACCTGGGAGGGGTGATGGTTGGAATCACCCTTGGTGTTATCATCCTGAGGAACTATGAGCAGAGACTCCAGGATCAGACTTTATGGTGGATCTTCCTTTCTATTTACGTCATTTTTGTCTTGTTTGCCATCTTCTGGAATATTTTTGCCTACAGTCTGTTGGATCTAAAGCTACCTCCCCCTCCTTGAAAACATGGGACAGAAAACTGGAGAGCAGAAGTCATCTGTCAGCTGTGTTAAATGAATGAAGATGGAGGATCTATTTTTGTATTTAACTTGGGAGGATGATTCTTCTGAACACGAGTGTGCTGGAGGAGGTGCTTAAAGATCTCATGAAAGAATGGGCTGATCAGTTTGTTCACAAACCCAGCAGGTTCTGTAACTCTGGCTGGCCATGCCCTGCAGTTTCTGCCCTGCACCTGGGCACTGACTGCTTGGGTTGTTATCACACATCAATCTTTTCTATGAGATATTTGTATTTTCCAGGTCAGTGCTGGAATTATGGCCAATTGTTCAGTGAATTTCCTCTATGTTACTGAACACTAAAAGGGAAAAAGAGCAGACATTTACTAATTAGAGACTCAAATGGTACTCACAAGGCAGCTTGAGTCTGGTTTCTTTGGACACATCTGACTGTTCAGCCATACCAGTGCCACTGTCTAATTACTTGAATGGTTCCTAAGGTATTTTAGCCTCTGCTGAAACTTGTCTTGCACAACTTTCAAAGGAATCAGCAGAACTTGATCACACAAAGTGATGGAGACTGGTCTTCAACCACAGGTCAAATGAAATTGCACTATAAACATTGGGAATCTTAGAGTGTTGTGGATACCCAGCCAGAAGTGACTTTTCCTGTGCATGTTTCACTTGATTTTCATTAATTATTCCCCCTTCCCCAGCCTGCTGTGGCTAGAGGGTGTGGCTGGATTGTTGGGTTTTTTTGGTTTTTTAGGGGTTTTTTTGAGGGATGAAGAAAAGGAGTGCAAATGTTCATTTGTGGTTTTATCAGATGACAATCAGGTGCTGTTTTCTTCTCATTATTTTTCTGACCACACTGACCTAACACCTGTCCTGCAGTGAGCTCCTAGCAAGGATCTCAACTCTTCCAGCAGGTTCTTACTAGAAAAATGGGACCATGATCACCTCCAGCAGGCCAGGGTGGGAACTATCCAGTCTTTACAGCCATACAATCCATTTGGGGCCAAGTCCACTGAAGGCAGTGGAGTTAAATCAGTTTGTATGTAGCACTGGTTTCCCAATGAAGTGGAGAGGGTGTTATTTGCTACAGTGATCATTGTGAAATGGATAAAACTGGTTTTAATATGATTTCTAAAATGTTGAGGATGCCTCCTCCTGAGGCAATGGATGTTCAGGAGCCCCAGACAAGAGTTAGCTGAGTGATGCCTTTTTCTGTAATGTTGGTCCAGCCCAGTTCAGGCAATCTGTGGGTGGGCTGTGGCACAGTTCACACAGTTGCCTGCACAGACTTAGGGACCACATGGGGACATCTGAAGCACAAGCAGAGCTTATAGGTACTCTTCTCTGTAAGGTGCTTATTTTGTTTGTCACTTCAGAGAGCTGCCAAATTACAGTCCAGGACTGTGGGTGCCCTCCTTTTCTCTGCCCTTTACCCACCTATCCAATGGTCTGGACAAAGCAGCCATAATATCTCTCCAGACAAGCTCCTCTCTTCCTTTTTCCTATTTCCTGCTGGTGCCCAGGCACAGCCACCAGAGTCTTTCATGGGCACTGTTGCAGTTGTGTTTGCTCTGTAGAGAAATGTCTCTGTGTTGTGGGCTTTATTCTCCCAACTATGCTCTCCATGCTGCCAGATGATACCACAAGCTGGTAGGAGCCTGTCCTTCTAGAGGGGACACCCACAAGTGCTTATCAGCTGCCCCCTTCTTTGCCTCTTATGGAAAAATAACTCTGGGCTGAGGGGTGAAGTCTTCTCCTACCAGATGCACTCATAAAACTTCTGTTGCCTCAGAAGGAGGGGATAGAAAATAACTGTATTTGGAGCTTGGAATAAGCCTTACCTGCGAAAGAAACAATTTTGGGCACCTTTGTGCACAGAAATGGGATTTCTGAGGGCAATTGCACTTTTCTTGTTCTGCATGGCCAGTACATTGCTCATGGGCCCTCACTGAGGACCAAGAGGAAGGGATAAGGGCCAGAGCTCTGATCATTTTGGAGAAGGGATTGGTTCCCTGAGCCATTTTACCTCTGCAGTTTGGGCCCAGATCCCAGCAGGCACAAGGGTGGATTGTTGCAGGTGCTGGCCCAGTGAGTGCTGTGGCTGTGGATCCCCCTGGGAGCAGGCAGGAAGGAGAGTGGGAGCAAGGAGAGTTCTGACATGGTTATCAAGTAAGGAGGACATTCCTTCCCTCACCTATTGCTAAGCCTTTCTCATTACAGATGCCTTGAAAACAGGGGTGACCAGGAATGGGAGTTCTCCTGAAATCTTAGGAAAGCTTTTAAAATGTTGGTAGAAAATTTCAATTGCAAAAAAGCCCAGATTATTTTGCCTATAATTTACCAGAGTGCAATGTGCACCAAGTGACTTCTATTTTTGGTTTCTCAGCTGAAAGCTACTTATTGCCCATGAGTTTCTTACCAGTAAAGGCTTCCATGCCTTTCCTGCTGCCAGTGTGTGCTCTGAGGTGAAGCAGCAAGATAAAAGTTCAAGAATCACCAGTTTCTTGAACAGCTTGATCATGGCCAAAATGTCTTTACTCAGCTCAGGAGTGGGAGGGAGCTGAACAGAGTAATGCAGACAGCCTTCCTTGGTCCTTTTTCCATAGATGAGTGTAGTTTACATGAACTGGTTGAAAACAGCTCTGAATTTGATCTTATGACTTGCTCTTTTAAACTGTTGTTCATCTTCCTGACTTCATTCTGTGTCCCCATACCCTGCCTGAGCAAGTTTACAAACAACCCTGGGATCAGAAAGGCCAGACTTTAAGGCAGTGTTAGATTTATGGTAGGTGAAGGAATGAAATCCTCTTACATTCCTGTTCATTGAGCTGAAATCTCCTCCCATACATGGAGCAGTTTGTGCACAGAGCCTGTTGTCTGCTAAGAATCAATCATCCCATGGAGCCAGAAGTAGCACAAAGTGCTTAAGCTTTTTTAATTTTTTTTTTAATCATTAAAATTACAGTGTGAAAACTTGCTATGTTTTTACAGAGTATCGTAAATTCCAGTTATGTGCTTTTCTAAGGCACCCAGGAGTGCCACAGTGCTGCAGCACCACAGAGCTAACAGCAACCAGGCTTTTCTGTTACCTCCAGATGTCCTTGAAGCCGCTGGCTCCTGTTGGAGATGTAATATTCTCCATCCTGCTCATTTGTGGTTCCAACCTGTCACAGTCAGCAGCATGTTCCTGGAGGAGCATCCACTGAGGGACTGGTTTCAGTGATTTGTTGTGGTTTTATTTCAGCTACTGCCAGGATTTTCTATCAGTGAGATAAACCATGAATCTATTGAAGCTTATGACTGTGCAGTGCTGGAGCAGAAGACAAGGACTGTCACCAGTGTACAGGTTTGAGCAGAGCACCTCGGAGCAAGTTATTTTATGCTGTGCCCTTGAGCGAGGACACAACACCTGGGGGAGGAAAGGGAAGAAGCGGGGGTGGATTTCCCGCGCGGTGAGTTCATTGCAGCAGAGCTCGCTCGGTGAGGATGAGGAGCGGAGCGGCGGGGGAGCAGCCGGGGCT